GTGCCTCCCTCCACCATAGTCCTCGATAATATTGTAACGGTGCTTAGGCGAAGCCCTGCGACGGTAGAACATCAAGATTGTCACCATGCAGTCGTGCTGATGGAACTCTTCCCCGATATTCTGTTGGATCGGAGTCCGGGGATCATCATCGAGCTGAACGTGTGCTAGAACTCGGAGGTGCCATAATTTCGGTGCTTGATCGGTCGGGTCGTGAAGACGTACGACTACATCAACCGCGTTGTTCTAACGCTTCCGCTTTCGGTCTACGAGGGTACGTGGACAACACTCTCCCCTCTCGTTGCTATGCATCACCATGATCTTGCATGTGCGTAGGAATTTTTTTGAAATTACTATGTTCCCCAACAACCTTTCCGATACACAGAGTGACAAATCCTAATCTCGATCTATGCCAACCCAACAAACACCTTCGGAGACACTTGTAGAGCATCTTTATAATCACCCAGTTATGTTGTGACGTTTGATAGCACACAAGGTGTTCCTTCGGTATTCGGGAGTTGCATAATCTCATAGTTAGAGGAACATGTATAAGTCATGAAGAAAGCAATATCAATAAAACTAAACGGTCATTATGCTAAGCTAACGGATGGGTCTTGTCCATCACATCATTCTCTAATAATGTGATCCCATTCATCAAATGACAACACATGTCTATGGTCAGGAAACATAACCATCTTTGATTAATGAGCTAGTCAAGTAGAGGCATACTAGGGACACTTTGTTTTGTCTATGTATTCACACATGTACAAGTTTCTGGTTAATACAATTCTAGCATGAATAATAAACATTTATCATGATATAAGGAAATATAAATAACAACTTTATTATTGCCTCTAGGGCATATTTCCTTTAGCTACGGCTAATTACCCGATTACCATGTGAGCGTGAGTAAAAGTATTTCCTCTCCAAGTCCCTACCCCCTTGATTACCTAGGGTTTTTCCTTGCTGATTCCCCTTTATATATAAGCCCAAATCTTGCAAAGTTTCATTTCCATTGCCGGTGTGACATGATACTGTCACAACTCAGCTCACCTCCGTGACGGGCCTATGTCAATAACACAAACAATCTATAAAATACACCTAGGTTGAATCGGTTAGAAGTTGTAAATCACCACGAGTTTGTTGTGTCTGTGTAGAGCAGTAAACACCTAGAAGTGGCAGACATGTCTGATCTTGTCGTTGTCAAAATATAGAGTAACATCTACGACTAATTACCCGATTACCATGTGACCGTGAGCAAAAGGTACTTTCCTTTCCTCTCCAAGTCCCAACCCCCTTGATAACCTAGGGTTTTCCCCTTCCCAAATACCCTTTTCATATAAGGCCGAAATCTTGCAAAGTTCCATTTCCATTGTCGGTGTAACACGGTGCTTTCATGGCTCAGTTCACCTCTGTGCCGGGCCTATGTGACTAGCATAAACAATCTGTAAAAATATACCTAGGTTGAATCGGTTGGAAGTTGTAAAACACCACGAGTCTGTGTTTGTGTAGAGCAACAAACACCTAGAAGTGGCAGATGTCTCCGATCTTTTAGTTGTCAAAACAGAGTAACATTTGAAATATTGCGTTCGTTGCTACGACTATTACCCAATTACCATGTGACTGTGATTAAAAGTACTTTTCTTTCTCCTCAAAGTCCCAATCCCTGTGATAACCTAGGGTTATCCCCTTGCCAAACCACCTTTATATATAAGCCCAAAATCTCGCAAAGTTCCATTTTCATTGCCCGCGTAACACTGTATTGTCACGTCTCAGTTTACCTCCGTGATGGGCTTGTGTCACTAACACAAGCGACATAAAATATACCTAGGGTGAATCGGTTGCAAGTTATAACAGACCACGAGTCTGTGTTTGTGCAGAGCAACAAACACCTAGATGTGGCAGGCGTGTCTGATCTTGTCATTGTCAAAATAGAGTAACATTTGGAATATCGTGTTCGTTGCTACCGCTAATTACCCGATTACCATGTGACTGTGAGTAAACATACTTTTCTTTTCTTTCCTCTCCAAGTCCCAATCCCTATGATAACCTAGGGTTATCCCCTTGCCAAACAACCTTTATATATAAGCCCAAAATCTTGCAAAGTTCCATTTTTATTGCCGTGTAACACTGTGTTGTCATGTCTCAGTTTACCTTCGTGATGGGCTTGTGTCACTAAGACAAATGATACGTAAAATATACCTAGGATGAATCGGTTGCAAGTTGTAACAGACCACGAGTCTGTGTGTGTGTGCAGAGCAGCAAACACCTGGATGTGGCAGACGTGTCTGATCTTGTCGTTGTCAAAACATAAAGTAATATTTGGAATTTTGTGTTTGTTGCTACGACTAATATACCCAATTACCATGTAACCGTGAGTAAAAGTACTTTCCTTTCCTCTCCAAGTCCCAACCCCTTGATAACTTAGGGTTTTTCCCTTGCCGAATCCCCTTTATATATAAGCCCGAAATATTGCAAAGTTCCATTTCAATTGCCAATGTAACACGGTACTGTCATGGCTCAGTTCACCTTTGTGACGGGCCTATACCACTAAACACAAACGATCTGGAAAATATACCTAGGCTGAATCGGTTGGAAGTTTGAAAAGACCACGAGTCTTTGTTTGTGTAGATTAGGAAACACTTGGAAGTGACAGATGTGTGCTATCCTATCGTTGTCAAAACATAGAGTAACATTTGAAACTTTGTGTTCGTTGCTATGGCTAATTACCCGATTACCATGTGACTGTGAGTAAAAGTACTTTTTTTCCTCTCCAAGTCCCAACCCCTTGATAACCTAAGGGTTTTCCCTTGCCGAATCCCCTTTACATATAAGCCCAAAATCTCGCAAAGTTTTATTTCCATTGCCGATGTAACATGGTACTGTCACAACTCAGTTCACGTCCATGAGGGGCCTGTGTCACTAACACAAACAATCTGGCAAGAAAGTCGAAACACTGCGACTCCTTCGATGATCATGGTACTTGGATTTGTTTGTGAGTGCTGGGGTGCTAAGTACTTGAATTATGTAATGCCATGACTTTTTTTGTTGCCTTCTGTTGGACTTTATTACAAACCTTCCTTCTTAAGGGCATGGCCGATGCATAGCCCCAGGGTGATGCCGCGTACGCCACGTATGATCGAATGCAAGGAAAAGTAGGTTCGGATGGAGCAGCGGGATCCTCAGCAGGATGCGAGTGTTTGGGGAGAAAAAGTGTGGTCCAGTGCATAAAGCTAAAAAGGTTGAAGTGTAGAGTAGAGATGCATGTGCAGTGGGAGTCTTTATTTTTTATTCTTTGATGAAGCCCACTAGTGATAGCTTGCATTGAAAGAGAAAAAAAAATCAACGTATATGTCTCAAGCTATTTTTTATATGCCCTAATTAATGTACGGTAACGATAACTCCCGAACGTTCGGGAGTTAAGCATGGCAACCCGAACGGGTTTAGATGGCAAGTTTAGTTTGCGTGAGATTAGGGAAACATGGCAATTTTCTGACAAAAAAACGAAAAAGGACAAAGTTGCCATCCCTATGAACTAAAGTTGCCATCTCCTATGAACTAAAATTACTATGTAAAAACGTTCGGAACGAAATGCTCAAAATCCGAACGTTCGGGAGTTATTGAATTTCTTAATGTAATGACAAGCCTTTTGCCTTGTTTTTTTAAAGACAGTTTCATCATTTCTTTCCATACCGCTTGAGCATCCTCTCTGTCCTCCGGAAACCAGGACTCCTCACCCTTACCACTCGCCGCTTCTCCCACCTCCTCCGCCGCCGCAATGGCAGGGGAAAGCACGGCAGCCACCCCATCGCGCGCATGCGCACCCTCCCCGGCGCCGGCAGACGCACTCCTACCCACCCTGCCATCCGCCCAGCGTCCCGAGCAACGCGACCTTGGGACTGGGAGGGTCATATGGGCGGTGATAAGATGGACTGGAGGGTGCGCGGCGAGGCGGAGCCCGGAGTCGCCGTGCCTGGCGGTATGGCGGCGAGGTAAGAGGCTAAAACCCTAGAATTTTGGTAGTACTACTACCTATATCTGAATCTGCTACTCGCCCTTCTTCTAAAAAAAATCTGCTACTACTAGTTTCCTCTGCAGTTCCGCTTGTGGATGGCCCTCCTCCTAGCTGGATGGCAGGGACAATGGATGATCATCTACTGCCCTCTTTTTTACCATCTTGGTAGACCGGGCATAATATTTGGTTATTGTTTAGGTTCAGGCATCGACTGAACTTGGTGAATCCGAACTAGCTGACGAGAAGATAAGTACTACTCGTAGGCCTGAATACTTTCATCTGAACTTTCAGGTGGCCTGTCACCTGTCAGGTGGTGAAATCAATCAATTGTACCCATGAGCAATGGTCTGCATGATAATATTTCATATTTGGTTTTGGCACCAATGTACTCCCTCCGTTCCAAAATAGATGACCCAACTTTGTACTAACTTCAGTACAAAGTTAGTACAAAGTTGGGTCATCTATTGTACAAAGTTAGTACAAAGTTGGGTCATCTATTTTGGAACGGAGGAGTATATATGTACAGACAAGAGCTAGCAATTCAAAGCATGACGAAAAGGGTTTCCCCCACTTTATATTATAAAGCAACCAGCACAACAACGATCATACAGAACAAAAGTTCAGAAAGGAAATGAGATGGAAAGGGGAAAATGATAGTAACAGGGAATATGGTCGTGCTCATTTTAATGGGACAAATATCTCTTTGACCACGGGGGAGTGCCCAACTACAAGTCCACATCAGCACATCTTAGCTGAAGCCTGAGGCAGGCTTTTGTGGCTGTGAGTCTTGACTAGATCACCTTCTAGGCTTCCACTACAGAAACTAGACCATAATGAGAAGAAAACGATGCCCCAGTATTGCCCTACAAAAAGAGTACCAGAGAACCACGGGCAAGTGTTTGCTGGTGGCTACCATTCTTAGTCTCCCCCTTGGTTTGAACGTGTTGATAAATAGGCATAGGAGCCCTGCGTTTCTTTCTGAAGATCGATGGCGGAGTTGCTTCCCTTTCCTCTCGTGCCATGGCTCCTCCTCACATGCTTCTCTCCATTCTTTGTTCATTCTATGGAATCGAGTACCTCCAGCTGCTCAAGTTCCAATATCTCCATCCCTTATCCTTTTGGTGTCTATGGGCAGAGCCCCTCCCCGGCTGAAGGGTTTGAGATCACATGTGGTTCATCTGGTCCTATGCTTCCCATAGGCAACAACTCAATTAGCATCCTCAACATCTCCCTGCTGGATGGTTATGTGACCATCCTGGCTAGTGCCGCCTCCCGTTCCCGGCATTGCGGAGGTGACTTTGCTAGCTTCAGCCTTGAGGGGACAAGCTTCACCTTCTCCGATACAAGGAACAAGTTGACAGCCGTCGGCTGTAATATGGTGGCCATGCTGTTGAATGGCACCAGCGATTACAGCGGTGGCTGCGCTTCTTTTTGCTCTACAAGCAATAGCATCGTCGATGGTGCTTGCTCTGGCGTGGCTTGCTGCCAAGCACCGGTGCCAAAGGGTTTGAAGAAGCTGTCTTTGAATTTCACGAACATAAATGCCAGCCTAAGCAAGTATACTTTAGCATGTGCTGAGGCGTTCATCGTGGAGCAGAACTCCTACGCTTTCGCTGCTGCCTACCTGAAGGTCCTGAACAACTCAAATAATAGCCCTCCTCAATACCGGCCTGTTGTTCTTGAGTGGTCCATAGATGGTGGCAGCTGTGAGGAGGCAAACCGCTCTGCATCATATGCTTGCAAGGAGAATTCTTACTGCTATAGCTCGTCCAATGGGATTGGATATCGCTGTAATTGTACCGAAGGATTTCTGGGGAACCCATACCTGCAAGGGCCTGGTGGATTCCAAGGTAATGAACACGTCCCCTGCTTATATTTTCTGGGTTTTCTTGTTACCTTTGTTTGTGTTTTTCAACTTTAATGGCAAGAGCTATGCATATCTGATATCTGTTTTGTTTCATGTGACTGTCGGCAAGATACTGATGAGTGCTCCACTGTAAAGCCATGCACGCATACCTGCATCAACACGAAGGGCAGTTTCAACTGTGTGTGCCCATCAGGGATGAATGGTGATGGCCGGAAGGAGGGAAGTGGCTGCAGTGGAATTGGCACGCTGCAGATTTCAATAGGCAAGTTTATGCAGATTTCAGGGATGAATGTTGGGTTAGATTAATGCTTGACCAAATAAATAATTCTCCGAGTTTTATTGTGTGCCTTTGCAGTTGTGGGACTAGCTCTGCTACTGCTTCTCCTTGTTCTTGGTTTCTGGACTCACTGTCTTGTCAAGAGGAGAAAGCTTGCGAAGAAAAGACAGAGATATTTTATGCAGAATGGTGGCGTGTTACTGAAGCAGCAGATGCTTTCTCGGAGAGCACCGCTGCGGATATTTACCTCAGGTGAGCTTGACAAAGCAACCAACAAATTCAGTGACAGCAATATTGTTGGTAGAGGTGGATTCGGGACTGTCTACAAAGGTGTACTATCAGATCAAATAGTTGTAGCAGTCAAAAGGTCGCAGCGAGTTGATCAGAGCCAGGTGGAACAATTCGTCAATGAGCTGGTCATTCTCTCACAAGTGACCCACAAGAACGTGGTTCAGCTACTAGGCTGTTGTCTTGAGGCAGAAGTTCCCTTATTGGTGTATGAATTCATCTCCAATGGTGCCCTGTTTCATCATCTCCACAATACATCAATCCCAATGTCATGGGAGGACCGCCTAAGGATTGCAGTTGAAACCGCATCGGCACTTGCATACTTGCACTTGGCTGCAAAGACGCCAATCGTTCACAGAGACGTCAAGTCATCGAACATTCTTCTCGACACGAGCTTCACCGCAAAGGTGTCTGATTTCGGCGCGTCAAGGCCACTACCCCCCAATCAGACCCATGTGACGACCTTAGTGCAGGGCACACTAGGGTACATGGACCCTGAGTACTTCCAGACAAGCCAACTGACCGAGAAAAGTGACGTTTACAGCTTTGGCGTGGTGCTTATTGAGCTTTTGACAAGGGAGAAACCAATATCAGACGGTCAGGTCGGCGAGGTTAGAAGTCTAGCAATGCATTTTAGCACGTTATTCCACCAGAACCAGTTGCTGAAGATTGTGGACTCTCAAGTGGCCGAGGAAGCTGGGATGAGACATGTCAAAACAGTCGCGCAGTTGGCTTTGCGATGCTTGAGGTCGAGAGGTGAAGAAAGGCCGAGGATGATTGAGGTTGCGGTTGAACTTGAAGCACTGAGAAGACTGATGAAACAACACTCTGTCCTGAAGAGCGAAGAAGAGGAGCCTCTGCTTCCTCTGCTTCGAGACTTGAGTTGCCGCGGGGAGATGAATCTCGATGCGCAGTTGAGTTCGAGCCATGATGGAATTGCCAAGGATGAAAGTATGGAGATCATTCTACTCCCATCCGGCGATCTCTCATGTTAGGTCTTTCATAATTATCTGTTCCATTTGTGGGTTTTTTTTTGCGAAATAACTCTTTTATTACTCAATCATATGGGATTACAATCTCGCGAGGCAATACATAAGACTTCATCAGGAGCTGAGCCGAGCCAAACCATGGTTCGACCCTGCCCACTACCAAAACTTTGACCATTTGGACGGCCTCGAGACAATCAGACTCAACATCTATAGGAAGAGAGTTCCATTTGTGGTTATCTGGCAGCCAGGTAGAAACCCAGAGTAGGTTTATTATATCAGTAAGTGTTGGTTGTTTTTTCTTTTCTTTTTCGTATCTCTGTTCAGCCCAACTTATCGACCCGTTTGTAGGTCAAGAAATGACTGCTAAATTTTCACACTTGGATTTCACCAAAACTTACGTACAAATCATAATCGCCTTTGCATTCGACCATTGTTCATTCTGAAGTCTTTCCCTTGCATAAATACGTCGTGGAGCTTAGATAGTACTCGGGACGGAGGTAATAAAATTTATGCTATGTGTTTGCTACCTTATCTAGCATATCAACTTTTACTCGCGGAAGAGATAGGCTCCAATCCCAATAGGGATTAATTCCACTATAAGGAAATTATTATTATCCCTGCCACTTAGTAACCATCTGGTTAATCCATGCCACTTAGTGGCGATCTGGTTAATCCATGCCAAGGATGGACTTAATCTCCACGTTTATTTTTTATAAGAACCTCCGCATTTATAATCTCACATATGTATTGGAGCACAATCAACTGTAAAATTTCAAATCCAGAGCCATGAAACAAAGCAACTTGGCAGTTGTTCATGACTAAAACAGAAGATCCAAATAAAACACCGGGATATGGCATACAATTATTTGTCTGACACCTCGATCAAGCTCCCTGAAAAACACATTTCCTGTAGATGAAGAGCAGCCAGTCCGCATCTGCAACATCATGGATTATCCGAAACTACTTGTACAGGAGATGAGGTGAATTACTAATGATATATTCAAGGCGTTTTCCTTTTTTTTTGCCGGAATATATATTCAAGGTGTTAGCATGGATACTAAGAAGAAATGCTTCAAGCTCAGGTAATCAGTGATGGTACGTACGTACTCCCTCCGTCCGGAAATACTTGTCCGAGAAATGGATGTATGTAGATGTATTTTAGTTCTACGTACATCCATTTTTATCCATTTCTCTGACAAGTATTTTGGGACGGAGGGAGTATGTTATATTGCAATGAATAAACATTTTATTCTTTTTTTTTTGCGGGGAAAATAAACATTTTCATTCAACGAGGGTTGGCAGTTGGCATTATCATGACAGAGGCGGCGACGAGCGGACGACCGAGAGAAGACGGCACCAACGACTGGACGCTGGTCCGCCGGTGGCTTTTGGGCTTTGCTTCGCAGGAGGGGCGCGACATGACAATGGTATTCCAGCTTCGGTGGCTGTGTCGCTTCGCAGGAGGTTGCTTTGCTTCCAGGTCGCTGTGTCGTCTTCGGTGGCTGCTGGCTGGCTGCCTGGCTTGGCTAGCTTGCCTAACAACCCGTGGGCTGTGGAAAAAGAATGGATGGCTTGACCATGACCTTCGTACCAGCATTTGTAGCACGACTACAGGAGACCAAGACGTGGTGTACCAGGGTGACGATGGGAAAAATATCCCGCGGCTCTGTGAGCGTGCGACTCCTATACAACCTTTTTTGCCAGAAATTTTTTCAATCTATTCATCAATCATGCCAGTACATAAAACACTAGAGGTAAAAAATTACAACCAGGCTCATGAACCACCTAGCGACGACTACGAACACTGGAACGAGCCGAAGGCACGCCACCGTCACCGCCCCTCCCTCACTGAAGCAGGGCAAATCATGTTGTAGTAGACAATCAGGAAGTCATCGTCCTAAGAAATCAAAGAACCAGCGCACCAGAGCCGCAACCATCGCCGGTGAAGAGACTTGTAGATCGAAAAGATCAAGTCTGTAACCACTCGAACAAAGAGGAACAAAAACTGCATCCAAATAAATCCACCGAATTCCAACACCGACCGAATCCCGCAAGATTCGACGAAGACACACCTTCACACGTCCTCCTCCGACGTTATTCGCATCATCGAAATAGGGATAGGATGTGAAAGATATTATTCCTACTGAGGGGCATTGCCACCGCCACACAGCTCCAACCAAAACGTTAAAACCTAACAAAGAAAGAGAACAGGGTCCCTCGCACCGGCGGCATGCGCGACGTGGACATGCTATGTACTCCCATGAGAATGCGCTGCCTGCCACTGCCATAACCGCTACTTGCCGGATATAGACACCTATGACGTGTCTGGTTTCATTTTCAATGGAGCATGTCTTAGTGGAGTCTATTTAAGAGTATACAGGCTCCGGGCCATATTCTGCATGTCGTTTGGTCGCATGCATTTATCTTAATTCGCATTCTCCCTGTAGTGTAAATTGCATTAGGCCGAACCTACATCTGGGGAAATGGTCAATCTAAGCATTCCTGATGGACCCGTCTAAGAACGCTTTAAGTTTCGTGCGAGCCAGTTCTATGTCCTCCCTAAAACCCTTCCCCCCGCGCCGCCACCCGCGAGGCGGCCGGGGCGGGCGCCCAGATCCCCCCGTTGTCGGCCTCCCCTCCTCCTCCCTCCTCCCTCGCCGCCGCCGGGGGCGCGGCCGGGCAAAGCCCGACCGGCGGGGGCGGCTGTGGGGCGTCTTCTTCCTCCTCCGTCGCGCGAGATGGGGCAGCGCGGGCTCCTCCTTCTGTGCGGTCACGGTGCGGGCGGGGGGCACCGCGGCGTGGCGGCGCGCGGCCCCCCTATGGCACGTGGTGTTGCGTGGCAGGCTGCGCGGTGGTGCGCGCCTCGCCGCGGTGGCCGGATCCGCCCGGCAGGCGGCGCAGGCTGCAGGTGGCGTGGGCGGCGGGTGGGGTCCGGCTTCGGGCTGCTGGCGGCTGCGCTGGTTCCTCTCAGTCGCGGGCGTGCGGCGGTGGTGCGGTTCGGCTGATGGCGGTCCGACGACCTGGTGGTGGTGGTCGGCGGTGCGCGTGGTGGTGGTGCTTCCATTTGGCGGCTCTTTGTGCCGGGAGGCAGAGGAGTGGCTTGGTCAGGGGCGGCGACGTCGACGGCGTGCCGGCTGCAGCGCGAAGGCGGGAACTTTACGGGCCTCGGAGATCCCGGCCGGGCCTGTGCGGCCACGAGCCTGGTATGTTCCTGCGATTGCGTCCGGTCAGCTACCGTCTTTGACGGTGGAGGTGGGGCCCTCCTGCATGCCGGCGATGCTACTGCCCTAGTCCCGGCTCCTCTTCTTCTTCTTTGTGCAGACCATGCTTCACGGTCCCGTGGTGAGTGGCGTGGGAAGCTTCGTGTCCGGGTTGACGCAGGGTGAGGGTCTGTTTGGTGGCGAGCTCTGGAGTGCCTGAGGTGGAGGTTGGGATCGGGAGAAATCCCTGTTGGCTTGGCCGACACCGACGCGGTGGCGCCTGTGGGTACCACCGGACCTTCTTGGAGGGCGTCGGGGCTACCCTTCCTCTCTCCTCACAGCGTACCGGGGGAAACCCTCGGCAGCAGCGTCATCATCGTCGCATCCCTTCTTGAAGGTGCTGATTGGTACCGGTGCTTCGGCGGCTCGGAGCTTGGTGGGCGATCTCCGGTGGGTGCAGCGGCTATGAGGCTTCTTCTTCATTTTTTGTATATCCGCCGTTGTTGGCATTTGTTTCTCTTGTATTTTCTATTTCTTTTCTTTTGGGCGTGACTGTGCAGCTTCCGCCCCAGCACCTATCGTTGGTTGTATCGGTTGGTTGCTTTGTATACAAAGCGGGGGAACCCTTTTTCGGCAAAAGATTGCATGTCAAACAGACGGGTGTTTATCCGAGCAGGAGAAGTTTTTACATACTTCACGGACCAGCACAGGTGGCATCTTCTAATTGGGATTAGGGAGAGACAGGGGCCCACCCCCTGAAAAATCGGGAGGAGAGGCCAATTAGGGTTAACCAATCCGTAAAACGCCCGTCACAGGTCCGTGCTTGTAGCATTATTGGTGTTTCTCCTGTGGGGTAGTTTTACCACAAATTATTCCAGTCGCCTCCGATGTGTACCGACATCGGCTCGACATTGGCTCCTCATTTTTTCTCCCTAGTTTACCTAAATATAAAAGGGTTTTTCCCATCATATTTTTTTAACGCACTACAATCAAAGTCGCTCACACACACGAACATGCACTTATCTATATGAATGCACATACACATCTTTCTTTTGGGCTTCGCAGTGGGTAGCTCAACTCTAATGATCATAGATATAACCAATGTGGTGACGTTGGAGGCGATTGCTTGCCGCGAGGGTTTATCCCAACCCTCGCGCAAGATCTTATGCTTGAAAAAAATTCATGGTCTCGGACTCGAAACAAGTGGTTAGCGACATTGACAAAGGAAGCTGTGGAGCGTACAGAGCCATTATTAGCAAGATTAAGCTTAGATCTTTAGCTTTTAATTGTAATTTTATTTTTAAAGGTAAAGTCTCAAACACAGATGCAGATAGATTAGCCAAGCTTTCCCATTCGTTGGATCAGGGGCGGCATGTTTGGTTGTCCGAATCCTATGATCCGTTTTGTATCCCACACCATGTAAACTATGAGCAATAAAAGCTTGGTTTAATAACTTCTAAAAAATATCCTCCTTAAAAAATAAATCTCCCCCTCCTTGTTTTGCTAAAAAAAATCCTCCTCATTGTTTCAATAAGAAAAAAAAATCTCCTCCTCTGTCGCAATGGCACGGCGGCCACATCCCCCACATCGTCGCCTCAGCCGCGGCGCCCTACAGTCGGCCGCAATGCCGCTTACCCCCCACCCCCCAGCGGCCCCCGCGCGCCGTCCCTCCTCGGCACCGGCTTCGCCAAGGTTAGGGGACGGACTGGACGCGGGTGGGCGTCGCCGGAGACGACGAGGAAGCGGCTGGCCTCGAGCCCTCGACCCTCGACCGCTATCGTGGGAGGTCGTCTCACCGTGCCCTCACGGGCTGAGGCCCGGGGAGGCAAGTGTAGCCCCGAGTAACGCGTCTCCGGGAGGGGCTGGGGGGATGTGGGCGGTGATGAGGCTGCAGCTTGCTCGGGGAGGCCGGGTCGGAGCCGCGCCGGAGTCCCGGTGCCTGGCGCCATGACGGCGAGGTAAGGCGACTCACCTTGGATCTTTACCTCTATATTTTGGAGCTGCTATTGGCTTCTTCCGCGGTGGAATGCAAGAGTCCAGGGTGAGTCGCTTGTACCAAAGTAGGAGCGTATGTTTTATTTTGAAGCCCAGTCATGATGTTAGGTAAATGTATTGATCAAACTAGGTTGATCCGGCTACTTACTCAGGGAAAAGAAATGTATTACTACTCACATCCTGCATACTTTCATCTGCGATTTAGGCGGATTATGCTTTGAGGTAGTAAAATTATACCCATGAATCCATGATCAGTGATCTGTATGTGTGACAATCACCGGTATACGTATATACTAGACTCACTGGTTGTGTGTAAAATGTCCATCGTTAAGCTAGCCCTCAAGTGCTAATAGGACTTGGAATGGCGCAACCCGATGCATTGGGTTCAGATCAACATAGTACCTTTTTAAACCATGGACTAGCTGCATAATTGGCAACCTAATCCTCAGGGGCCAATTAGACGCATGTGACTAGGTTTTCACAGGCACTCCAGATTCCCCTGGTTTTGCATACATCTCGATGTCAGTCAGTTGAGACAGTTTTTTAATGCTTGATTTAGATCAAAATTAGGAATGAATGTGATATCATATTCACTTGGTGTAAATATCGGAAGTAAAATTGGATATGAACTCACAGTTGTGATATCAAGAATTTGGGGTGATTTGTGGGATATCAAGAATAAGTAAATAGTGATTGCTCTGAGCTATTTTATGCAATTCTCCATAACTATATTACACATTGTCTTGAGATGTCAACTGACACTAAAATACTATGAGAAGGTTCATCTTGGAGTCTGACAAGAAGCTTTCATTTCAGCCTCCATGCTCAACTGTGTAATTCCTTCTGAATGGTGCAGGCTGGAAGTGGAGCTTGCTTCACGTAGAAGGTTCCCTTGTTCATTAAATGGTTCACCTGTTTTTCTCATAGTTTGCTCCTTGGTGAATGACCTTCTTAGCTCCTCTAAAACTGATGCAACCTCCTTCATAATGGGTCGTTCTTGTCCATTCATACTTAAGCATCTCACAGAGAGCTGCGCAACTGCATAGAGTTGCTCTTCACTTGCTTCTTCCAAAATGTGTGGCTCTATCTCCTTAAGTAGGCGCCCTTCATTGACTACAATCACCATATGCATGGCTAAGTTGCATGATTCTTCTGGCCTGCCTACAGAAATAGGCTTCTGCCTTGTCAATAGTTCTGCAAGAACTACTCCAAAACTGTAGACATCACTCCTCTCTGTGAGCTGGCCACTTTGGAAATATTCCGGATCAAGATACCCTATAGTACCTTGAATAAGGGTGGTTACATGAGTTTGATCAAATGGAACTGATCTTGATGCACCAAAGTCTGATATTTTAGCCACAAAGTTCTCATCCAACAGTATGTTGCTTGATTTGATATCCCTGTGAATAATTGGTATAGAAGATGTGGAATGCAGATACGCAAGTGCTTCTGCTATTTGTGCAGCTATCCTTAAGGTATCCTCCCATGTTAAGGAGAGAGGTGCACTTTTGTTTTGGATATGCTGGAAGAGCGTTCCATTGGGTATGAACTCATACACCAATAAAGGCACTTCTGTCTCTAGACAGCACCCCAAAAGCTTGACAACATTCGGGTGATCGGTCTGTGATAAGATGGTGATCTCATTGACAAATTGCTCCACCTGGCTCTCATCAAACACCCTAGACTTCTTTACAGCAACCAGAGTCTCATCTGGAAGAACACCCTTATACACTGTGCCATATGCACCTCGGCCAAGGATTCGAGTCTCACTGTAGTTGTTAGTTGAAGTCTTGAGCTCTTCCGCACTGAATATCTTTGCTGACGAGTCCTTACTTTGAGATGTGAATGCCGAAAATCTCTGCTGCAACAGCAAGCCTCCATTCTTACGGAATAACTCGGATCTCTTTCTTCTCACCTTTCTTCTCTTCACGCCCCAGTAGTAGCACAAGGCTGTGCTAGATATTGTAACCACAAGTGCAAGACCAACACCTGCAAAGATTGGATGAAAATGTGTACAACTTGTCTAAGTCAGCATTCTTCGTGTAATGTATGTGGAAATAACATTGTTAGCAATGCTGATAGGTACTGAGTTACTTTTAATTACTCCCATGCAGGCGTGATATTGATGTAATCTTTAGGACAAACATAAGCTGACAAATTTTTCTTATAATCAGTCATTAGGGAAGATGCCTTTCCATTCGCAAAAAAAGAAGGGAAGATGCCTTTCAATCCAGGCAGCCTTCTAGTCATAAATCATGAACATTAAATGTATACTTGCGTAATGTTTTATGCCTGTAGTTCACTTGTCATTCATATGATAATGAGTCGTCATAAGAGTTATGTATAGAAACAGATTTTCGGAGCTTAGGTGCCCCTGCACGCTTCATTACAAAAAAACTGTTTTTGCTTGTTTTTGTAAGTTAAACCGATAACAATAACACATTCAGATGTGTGAATACTCTATGCACATGCGAATTGGGTGGGAAAAAGGTTATTTTGTGGTCTGGGTGAAAAGGAGAGGCATAAGGGGCTAAAAAACCAAATTTGTTTACAATGAACCTGTCTTCTTTAGCAGGATGGTTCGCAGATGCACATGGTGTTTGCATATCTGTTTGTGTGGTACCTTTTTGGGTCAGGTGCTGACCTCACAAATTATCGTACATATAAACACTGCATACTACATCAATGGACCAGCATTGCAGAACTATGTTTCCTAAGAATTGCATTGATAGAATAATACTAATAAAATGGAAGTGAATACTCTATGAAGCAAAAACAAATTATAATAATAAAATTTGTTATGCCAGGTTTCTTGAGTAAGTTACCCAAGGCAGTATCTACAGGAAAGCGCTTTTTTTGACAGCCACTTCCCCTTTCATGGCCATCACCAATCATGCCTTGAGGACAAGAGCACTGCCCATCTTTGCAGTACTCCAAGTACATGCAGGGGTTCCTCTCAGGGTGAGCGCACACGTTCAAACCTAATAGTTAGCCATAGATCATTAGTAGCACTAATAATTTAGTCCTCTTTTGCAACTGTTTGGCAAAAAGTATCTTTATCATACCTTGCGATTGTTGCATAGGGGAACCTGCATTGCAAGAGAATGGTCATTATTAGATCTTTTGATAGTAATAACTGTAGCCTGGACATATCTATTTGCTACATCAGCGCTTGAGAACCTGAAGTACTTCTACCAAGATGAAAGTGTGTGCTTAAGAAATTTTGAAAGATAGAAGTGAAACAGATAGATGACTGCATGAAGAGGCTAGGTGGTACTCTATATGTTCTCATTTAGATGTCCTCTTAGAATGCATGCAATCAACTTCATAAAACTTGTACAGCTAATATACACAACAGTATTTGGATGTTCATGTGCAAATCTTATAAGTAGATTTGTCATCAGAGATACTTTAATTTCATTACCCTTTTAAAATAATTTTGACTAGCATGTAATTGTTGAAGATAATGGTCAAAGGTGGTACATTGGTGACTGCATCCATGCCCAAACATGTAAAAAGAAACAAAGGTAGTGCATAAAAGTAGCTGAGCTGTAGCTTTTGATATTGTGCGAATTGTTAAGTATGTTCGGGTCACATACATTTTGGGTGATTTTTCTAAGTATAAAGTTAAATTTTACTGCGGTAAATTGTCAAATGTCCCAAGACATAACATTACCAGATGGATGGAGTGCCTCAGTGCAGCCCGTCCCTTTCTTGTAACCGTCACCAATCAAGTAAGGGGGACATGAGCAAGTAAAACCTCCTTTGGTGTTGTTGCAGAATTCTGTAATGTTGCAAGGGTTGCTGTCCAAATTCCGGCATTCGTTTATATCTAAAAATCAACAATGCAACACTTAATTTCAAAAATCAGAGAGTCTTATTTATATTCATAAAAGCAGATACAATTATATACGCTGTTTTGTAGATGTGACAATCAAATTCAACTTCCTTGCTTACGTTTGGAACCAGAGCAAAATAACAATGACAATGATGAAATGAATGAATACTTGAGAACTAAGGAACTATATTTGTTTTCAGAATTATATAGGTGCCTCTTTTGTGCTCAAACCAAAGCCATCCATCATTTATTCTTTGATTGTGTGGTAGATAGACAAACATTGATGTTCACTTCTGAAATTTGGTCAGAGTTTTAGAGCCATTGGCACGATGGTGGATAAATTGATAAGAACAATCTTGAATATGTGCTATTCAGCCCGTTGGTGTACTTCAGAACTAAGAAACTGTATTAGTTTTCAGACTTATAGATGGCGAGATATGAAGAATATATGGACGCCGATTCTTGGAGCATTGGTAATATTGAAGATCTTGTGCAAGGACACTCTTTTGCTAGTGATGGGTCGATGCACAAGATCGCCTGGTACTGATGCGTTTCAGCCTTCTTGCCTAGATTTTAGTCTCTTCATCAGCTTGTGCTAACAAAGATTAAAAAAATGAGACTACGGTGGTTTCCTGTTTTTCTAGTAACCTGTTTGTTAATCTATGTAGGCTACATTTCAAGACCTTAGGTGAAGACTGACTATTGTGTACCTTCACATGAAACTGCAGGTGAAATTCTATTCAATATTGTAGGTCATGGATATCTGTGTGGTTGATGAAGAAATATTTACCTACGCATCCTTCTGCAGTGTAGGGATTCCCGTCATACCCTGCGTTGCACTGGCAGAGGTAGCCAACTCCCCTGGGCGCGTCGATGCAGTCACTCAGACTGTTGCAGAGTGACATCAAGTTGTAGGTTAAGGCCTGGTCGCACGTGCCCTGGCCAATTGCCCAATCCAAGATCATCCCGTGGTCGCCAACCGGCAACAGCGGGTCTTTCAGCGGATCCTGCCCACCCTTGAAGACTTGCTCATCTTGGTCGTAGAAGAACGCAGCGCCGCAAGTGCCGTTCTCGTCACCAGTGAATTGCCCTGGTAACTTGTTGAACGTCAAGGTGAACTCTTGAGCGGCATCCATCGGCATGGTGCCCTCGCAGCAAGCTGCATCGGAAAGGCAGGATCTTCCGTCACAAAAGGAGTTGCAGCTGATAGGCTGCCACTGGCTGTGACCGGGCATCGAGTTGCTGAAGTTAGCAGATAGCCTGTAGTCGCATCCAATGGCGACCAGCTTATTGCGCTTGGAGAAGGTGAACGGCGTCCCGTCCAAGCTGATGTTGCCGATTCCGGTGGCCTGCGTTTGCTTGCCGTTGCGGTCGTAGCAGACTTGGCTGATGGGCCCGGCTAAGATGACGACCAAGGCGTCTTCCACCGACACATAGTCGATTTTATAGCTGCTCTCGTTGATCTCCAGCATGGCTTCCATGTTCCGGCCGCAGATTACCTCGAAGCCGGGGAGGGATCTGCCTCGGGCACCAAATGGATATGGGATGGTGTTGCACGTTATGTTCCGCACCACCGGCGCCGGCAGTGGTGGCAGCGCCAGGCCCCGTGAGAGTGCGCCGCGGGGCATCACGGAGAAGAGGACGAGCATGAGCACCAGCGGGCGGAGCCGCCGTGCGGGCACGCCAGCCACCGCCGCTGATCTGCTCTCTCTTCCGCATGGCATGTCTCTCCTCCTCTCGGTTGTGCGCGGGAGCGAATGCACGGTGTGGTTGCTATGCTTTGTTCAAAGTGTCGACTTTTCTAGTGGTCTCCTGGCGATGGCGATTTTGTGCAAAAGCCCTCAGATTTATGTGTTCTTTTTTGATCTTGAACAAAGATATACCTCTTCCGTCCTAATGCATGTGTAATTGTGTATTAGATCTTGTTTTTTCACTCCAAGCCTCCACTCCCAGCCTAGGTCCCCAGCCCAGCCACCCACACTCGGAAGCCAGCCTCTTGCTTGCCGAAGAGGCGAAGACCAAGTGTCTGACTTGATTGCTAATCAAATTTACAATCCTTACCTTGCTGAGTTGGGAATTTATAATCCTTGCCAAGTGCCTGACTTCATTCTCAATAGTTTCTATCTGTGTGTGCTGTTATGCAATTGCGCAGTCTCTTCATGTCAATCTTCAATCATTGTCACTCGCAAGGAAATGGCAACAGCTGTAAATATTGCATCACAGCCACGGCGAAGACCGGCATTGTTCGTGCGAGTCATGCATAAGGTCGAAATGGACGTCAAGAGTCAAGACCATACGTTGCGACAACTGATAAAAGATGTCGCCCGTGACAGGATGTCATTGTTCAGGTCCACCACGGTTGGCTCGCTGCTTACATTATGGAATTTCTCTTACAAAATCACTATATTGTGGAATGGAGGGAGCGTTGCTTTTGGTGGCACTCTCTGCCTCTTGCATCGTCATCATCGGGCCCTTCCTTTGCCCACAACCTGTGGAAAATAGCTTGACCTTAGCTTTGCACGATGCTCTTAGAACGACGCATACACATCTACGTGCACACGCCTCGGCGGCACATCACAAGTAACCACGCACAACTCTGCTATACTTTTACGGTGATTCAGATGATTCTTAACGAAAAAAAGTCCAAAATAAACCTTGAAATTATAGACGAAAGCAAAATCAAACCTTGAATTTTGAATCCCGAAAATTGACACTCTAAACTTGCAATCCCGGTCTATTTTGGACCTTAGACTTGTTTGACACTCTGAGAATACTACAATCCCGGCCGGTAACCAGCTACTCTCACGGACAAGAATTTGAGCCAGCCCACTATAACACAACAAGACTCGTGAAGTTTAAAAAATGTTCGCACATTTCTAAAAATTGTTCAGAAGCTAAAAAATGTTCATGTTCTCTATTTTTGGCACAAATTCAATTCATTTTGTGTTTTTTTAAAAATGTTTGGAATTTTTGAAATTATATTCACATTTTAAAAAACTGTTCGTGATTTCAAGTCCAACATGCAAAGACGTGGTGGCATTTCACAAACCGTGGGGATCGGACAGCAGCTTAGTGTTTGACGTGATGAAGCGACCACCACCACATCCCGCCCTTGCCCACACGGCAAAGTTTGCTGGATCTGATCGCCGAGCTAGTCTGCCAGTGGCGCGCGG